CGGACGCCGTGATCTTCAACACCTACGAGCAGCGGCTGCCGGCGGAGACGCTGGCGCTGCCGGGTACCGCGGCGCTCCCTCCATCCCGGCATCCGGAAAGGCCGCGGGCTGGGGCCGGCAAAACCGCCCGCAAAAAGCCTGGGCTTGGGCGGGAAAAGGGCCGGAATCTTACTGGGATTGGTACCCCGCAGCGTGGAAAGAGGCTGGTTGGGATGTCTCCAGGCGGGAAACCCCGGTGCATCCTAATGCACGCCCGAGGATGGGCTTGGATCAATGCCAAGGGGTCCTGGGGTTTTTGGAGCCGAATCGCTCTTAGGAAGTGGGAAAACGGGGCTTGAGACGGAGGTGGAAGGCGCTGCTGCTCCGCAGCTGGAAAACACCCGTTTCCCGCCTGCTCCCGCAGAGATCCAGGCGCAGCTCCGGCTCGTGAAGCACGGCGAGGGCGGCTTCACCGTCTTCGTGGGGCTCAACGGCACCAAGGAAGAGCTGGGCCTCGACTCCACCAACTATTTTGTCTACCGGGGAAGTGACGTGGATCAACTGTAAGGAAACGCCGGGTCCCTGGGGCACGCGGCCGGGAGCCGGCGGCTCCGGCATCTCCATCTCTTCCCGCAGGATGAGGCGCTACCTGGAATCGTCCAGGGAGGAGGCTGCGGAGAACATCCCCTTCTTCTTCATCACCAGCCCCTCATGCAAGGATCCCACCTGGGACATGCGGCATCCCGGTAAAGCTCCGGCTCGCTCCGAGGGCGCCGCTTTGCCGGGCGGGAAGCATTGGGCAAATCCCAGGAGGATTTGTGGAAACGGGGGATGGCCACGGAGGGCATCGGTGACTCTCGTCACAGGCAAAACCACCTTGGCCGTCGTGACGTTCGCCAACTACGAGTGGTTTGAGGAGTGGAAGGACGAGCCGGCGCAGAAGCGCGGGGACGACTACGAGGACGCCAAGAGAGCCTTCGTGGACACCATCATGAGGACCGTGTACAAGCTCTACCCCGGCATCGAGGACCGCGTGAGCAAAGGCAGCGGGAGATGCCCCGGGATGAGGTCCAGGTCCCAGGACACCACAGCGGGGTCCTGTCATCCCCGGGTGACGGTCAGGTCCCAGGAGACCATCTCAGAATGAACCCCAGGTCTCAGGACACCACCTGGGCACCACGTTGGGCTCCCAGGTGACCATGACCGGGTCCCATGAGACCACCCGAGGACCACAGTGGGGTCCTGTCACCCCAGGGTGACGGTGGGGTCCCAGGAGACCATGTTGGGATGATGCCCAGGTCCCAGGACACCAGCCTGGCACCACATTGGGCTCCCAGGTGACCATGACCGGGTCCCATGAGACCACCCGAGGACCACAGTGGGGTCCTGTCACCCCAGGGTGACGGTGGGGTCCCAGGAGACCATGTTGGGATGATGCCCAGGTCCCAGGACACCAGCCTGGCACCACATTGGGCTCCCAGGTGACCATGACCGGGTCCCATGAGACCACCCGAGGACCACAGTGGGGTCCTGTCACCCCAGGGTGACGGTGGGGTCCCAGGAGACCATGTTGGGATGATGCCCAGGTCCCAGGACACCAGCCTGGCACCACATTGGGCTCCCAGGTGACCATGACCGGGTCCCATGAGACCACCCGAGGACCACAGTGGGGTCCTGTCACCCCAGGATGATGGTCGGGTCCCAGGAAACCACGCTGGGATGATGCCCAGGACACCACCCTGGGACCACAGCGGGATCCCATGATCCCGGGAGGACGTTGTGGTCCAGGCAGACTGCGCTCGGAGCAGGGACGTCCCTGGGGCTCCACGGGCCACCGCGTCCTGCCGGGACGAGCCCCCCGGTGCAGAAAGGGAGCCCGCGTCCCGCTCTCCGCCGCAGGA